TATATATATATATATATATATACATACAGGAATTCATTATAATTTGTATACTTTCCTTTAATTATAGATTCTCAGAATGAACAAGAAAAATGGAAGAGGATGCTTAGTATCACCGGTGTGTTTTCACATCAAGGATTTTTGGAAGTCCCAGTTGTTGGCTCATTAATTTTGACCAATGTAGCTACAAACAGTGTTCTGTCTCTCAATAAACGTTCTCACATCTACATTCTACCACATGGAAGTCTACAAGTAAAGGACAGGCAAAATCATAGTTCACCTTGTAGTTGTACAATTCCGTACTTAGAAAAACATCATCACACCCACCCTGTGCCACCTAAAAGTCTACAAGTGAAGGACAGGCGAAGTCATAGTCTACCTTGTACCATGCCGTACTTAGAAAAACATTGTCATGCCCACCCTGTGCCACCTAAAAGTCTACAAGTGAAGGACAGGCGAAGTCACAGTTTACCTTGTACCATTCCGTATTTAGAAAAACATTGTCATGCCCACCCTGTGCCACCTAAAAGTCTACAAAATAACAACGGGCAAAGTCACAGTTTATCATGGAATGAAGAAGCTAGTCACTCCAGGAAATATCCAAGGCGGCCTTCTCAAGGATTCAGACGTTCACTAACACCAGTACAAGAGAGTGATCTGGAACAAATGGAATCCTCCAAAGATACTGAACTGAATGTAAAAATCAGTTTTACACAAATGTGACACAAAAGTTTTTATGTTGTTTTGTCAGTAATTAAAAAAGAAAGTATGATGACACTTATGGAAAGAAATGACTTGAAATTAATTTTAAAAAGTTATTATTCAGGTGTATTAGTTGAGATAAGTTTTAAAGACAACATGAAAATCAGCTGTTTGTAGAGTGGAAAGTTGAATAAAGAAAGACAACAGTTGAATTATAAAACAGAGAGTGACACCTAGCAGAATTTCTCTAAAACTGAACTGATAGAAATAATTGATGAAGAATAAGAATTCATTACATACTGCAGTTTTGGGATTAAAACAGTCAGCTAATAAGGATAATAAAACACTTACTGGAAATAGGGCAGAAGGTGTGGATGTTATCAAATTACACACTTATTTGTACAGTTTATAACTAGACAGTTATTAGTTACAAAAAACTAACTCCAGTTAATATAGTTCATAATTAGACAGTTATTAGTTACAATAAACTAACTCCAGTTAGTATAGTTCATAATTATACAATTAGTAGTTACAATAAACTAACTCCAGTTAGTATAGTTCATAATTATACAATTATTACTGTTACAATAAACTAACTCCAGTTAATATAGTTCATAATTATACAATTATTACTGTTACAATAAACTAACTCCAGTTAATATAGTGTTTACTACTCATTTACCCATATCAGTTTACTACACATGTACTATATCAGTTTACTACTGATGTACTATATCAGTTTACTACACATGTACTATATCAGTTTACTACTCATGTACTATATCAGTTTACTACACATGTACTATATCAGTTTACTACTCATGTACTATATCA